GGGAAAAACACTTACCCCATAGTTCTCTTTTAATACATTTTTTTCCTGGAGATCTTCTTTAAACTTCTAACACTTGACTAGTTGCTTAGACCAGCCTTTCTCAACCAGGGTACTGTGGCATGCTGGTGTGCTTCCTGGTCTCCTCATGGGTGCCTCAAAATGTTTTGTGGTAGTGGGACTGTGATGTGAAGCGGGCTCCTGATGTAAAGGGAGAACTCTGATGTAAATGGGGGGACTATGATATGAAAGTGAGGCTTCTGATGTGAAAAGGGGGCTCCTGATGTGAAGGAGGGCTAATAATGCAAAGGCCAACTCTGATGTTCAGTGGAGGAACTCTTGATTTGAAGGGGCACTTTGGTGTGAAGGAGGAGACCCACTTCTTTTGGGGTGTTTTTGTGTGGGGTCCCTTCTTAAAACCTATGACATTTTAGACGGGTGTGCCTTTCAAACTTTTAAAGGGTGCCGTGACAAAATAGGTTGAGAAACACTGGCTTAGGGTAACTTTTCATGGTTGCTCTATGTTTTTTTTTACTGGCTCTCTTTGAATTACACAGAAACAAAACATAAAAAATTCTAAGACATCTGAAGGAAAATGTTGAAGCCAGTGTGGCTGGATAAGACCGTGTTTAGAGTGGCACTTTACCTTGAAGTCACCAGTCTGCCAATATTGGTGAAGTGCTGTACACCACCATCTGGGGAATTACAGCTATTTCCTATTTCTTGTCCTTGAATAAATACAAATGAAGAATACATGTAAAAACTAAATACACAGGGATGTGCCAAGGTTGAAACAACTGCCCTTTAAAGTCTAAGTCCAGCCAAAATGGGGGAATTTATCAAACCTGGAGCAGACAAAATCTGGAGCAGCTGTGCATGACAACCAATCAGCATTCTCTATCTTTTTCAATTCTTAACTGAACAAACTAAAGAGAGAAGCTGATCGGTTGCCCTGGGCAACTGCTTCAGATTTTGTTTGCTCCAGTTTTGATAAATTCCCCTGTATGTGTATTGAGTGTTTATTTTAGAGTGGAGAAAGATCAGAACCCCCCTCTCAGGTTTTTACTGCTCCCTGGGGCTGCATTTGTGAGTGTTTACCTCACTTTCTGTTCCTGGTGGCAATGGATTCACCAAACAGGAAGTGAGGGAAACCTGTAATAGGGATCCTGACAGAAAAAAAGATCCGACTGCTCTATACTGATAAATGTAAATGATATGATTTGTTGGTGTGGGCAGCAGCACTGTGCCCATGAGTCTTATTCCGGTTGCACTTTGCCTTGTCAAAGTAGATTACAACGGCCGGCCGGGAAGCTGCTCGTCGGGCTCCACCGTCCTCTCGTCACAGACTTTTATATTTTACCAAAAAATATGGTAATGTTCTATAATTTAATATAGGGAAAACTGTTTTTTTTTTCCAGGTCATTTTTCCTTATTATAGTAAAAAATAAACCCCCCAGTGGTGATTAAATACCACCAATAGAGAGCTCTATCTGTCCCCAAAAAAAGGTATAAAAATAATATCAGTACAGCGCTGCATGACGGAATAAACGTCAGTCAAAGTACCGCAGCACTGATTACTGAACAATGGCCTGGCCAGGAAGGGGGTATAGCACCGCTGACTTAATATGTCTTTATTCAACCCCAAATACTATGTAACTATGTAATGCCAAGAGGTTTTTAAGCTATTTCAAATGTTGAATAAACCACTTACAATCAATGCTGCTCCTGTATGTTTAAACTTTTAGTTTCCTGCAAAACTACATGGACTCCTGAGCATTGGTCCTGATATCCTGCTTTAGGGTGGCTCCTTCCCCTTGCAGGGTCCTATGGAGCCACCCTTGTGTGTGCGAGGAAGATGTGTGTGTCTCCATGAACACACAGGCAAGACAGGGCAACCTACTCCCCTTCTTGCTGCTCCTCTCTCCTCCCTCTTTCCTTCTTCCCTCTGCTAGCTAGTAAGGGGGCAGCTGGTGGACACTGCTCTGCCCCTTCTGGTCTTGTACTAGATAGTTAGGTCGGGTACACACCTAAGCAGCATAGCTTTTGCGCGTTGGTACACGCATGTTCAGTGTGCGGTTATTTGCACGTTTATACGCGTTATGCACATTTCGATGCATGTCTGGACTGGCAGCTTAAGAAACACTGCGGGCAATGGACGAACGCACGTACAAACGTGCACAAGAATGTGTAACATGTTTCTGCCGTGCGTTTTGGGGCTTTTCTATTGAAGTCTATGGGGCAAAAACGCGCTGTTAACTGTCCAAAGAAGCTCATGTACCTTTTCAGACATTTGCCATTTTCCTGCTGGTCCCAGGCATTTTTCTGCTCAGGAGTGAACAGGGACCATAGAAAATCAAGGGATTTCTTGTGTTTTCCAACTGCTCAAAAACGCCTAGGTGTGAACCAGGCCTTAAGGTGACATTAAACCCTCAGATTTTTTAACATAAACCAATACTGTAATGTGTGCCTTACTGTAATCCATGGTAGTTTCCCTTCTCTTTGCTGCTCTTCCTTTTAAATCTGTATCTGTTCTCATGCTGGGCAGAACTTCTGTTTTGCAGCAGACTGCCTTGTCTCTGGAAGGGATACATGGTGTCTGTGTGTAGGTTTGCAACCTGAACCAGCACTACTGGAAGAGGCCCTGAGCTGCAAAGGGAAGTTCTTCCCAAGCATGAGAAGACATGAGGATTTAAAAGGAAGAGCAGCAAAGAGAAGGGAAACTACCATGGATTACAGTAAGGCGCACATTACAGTATTGGTTTATGTTAAAAAATCTGAGGGTTTAATGTCACTTTAAGGGAAGCAGAGCTAAGAGAGTTGGAGCCAACTGTATGGAAACACGATGACTGTAAGTGCTTGGACAAAAATGTAAACATAATGGCTGTAGTAATAGTGAATGTGGCCATTACCTGGATGTAGCAGTGGCTACTCCTTCACTGTTCAGTACCTGTCAATGTGGAGGGACAGAGATGGTGTTGGTAGCTTCCAGCTTGTAATTGTGGTTTACTTCTGGCATTAGGCAGGATGAACAAATACACCCTTGTGTCTATGGCTTTCCTGTAACTGTCACTGAGCATGCGCACATACAACAGTTATTGAAATAATACAACTATCAGATATCAACGTCAAAAGGTTTTCAAGCTATTTCAAAGGCTGATGAAATCACTTACAATGGATGCTGCTTCTTGGGGTTTAAATGTTTTAGTTTCCTACAGATTCAGCTGATCTCCTGAGCACTGGCCCTGATACCGTGTTTATGTGTGGCTGCTTTTCCTTACAGGGTCCTGTGGAGCCACGCAGGGGCGTAACTGGAAATCACAGGGCTCCATAGCAAAATGTTGTATGGGGCCCCGTGATTTCTAGTTATACCCCGTGCAGAGCCCACTCGAGATCCCACCTGGGGGTGAACTTGCAGAGCCCACCATAGACTCTCTATGGTGGGCTCTGCAGGGTCACCCTCAGGTGGGCTGGTCGCACTCCTTACCTGTCCGCCTCTTCTTCCTCCACGGTCGCTGATGGGCCCCGCCTCCTCCGTCGCCGGGCCCGCCTCCTCCCCTGCTGCCGACAACGGGCCCCGCCTCCTCCTCCACTGCCAGTGAAGGCCACCAGTAGAGGATCCCATAGCGGCCCGCACGGCATCTGGCCGAGCCCCACTGTGCCCCAGGCCTCATAGCGGCCGCCTGGGTCACTATGGTGATTGTTACGCCACTGGAGCCACTCCTATGTGTACTAGTAAGCTATGTGTGTCTGCACAAACACACAGGCAAAAGACAAGTCACTCCCCTGCTCCCCCCTCTTTTCACCTCCCTTCTCCAATCTTGTACTGGACAAGTTGAGGGAAGCTGAGCTGAGAGAGTTGGAGTCAGCTGTTCAGAAACATGACTGTAAGCGTTTGGCCAAGCATGTAAAAAAAATAGCTTGCTGGGCAATGTATATTTGTGTGATCTGGATTCATTATTGAAAACAAATTGGGTTTACTACTACTTTAATATAAATAAAACAGTCCCAGGTTTCAGTGACACCCATCAGAGTTGGGAGCTTGTGCATTCAAGCTAATAACTATGGTAGCAGATATTTAAAACCAGAGTAATTAATGAATAATTGATAGACAGCACACATGACAATGTATTCCTTTGTATATTTAAAGAGGGCTACTGAGCACCTAATCCAATCAGTGTTGCTAATGGAATTACAAGCACTAGGTACAAATTGATAGAGTCCCAGCCATCAGAGTATTGCAGCTAAGGCTAGAAGGCTACAAGGGTCCAGGCTGCTTTCATCTATGATGATGATGACACTATCAGCCATGTTTCCGTAGAGGGAAAGTTGCTTTTATTCGCTGCTCTTGCTTCCTGACTCCAGTGCACACAGTTAGCTCTCACCTACACAGCAGCCCGTGGTCCTCCTGCCAGGTGCGCGTGCATGCTCCTTACCCCCCCCCCCTTCCCCAAGCTCCGCCCCCTCCTCCCATCCGCGTCCAAGGCGCGCTTGATTGACAGGCAAGATGTCGGTGCAGAGAGAGGATGCAGCAGCAGCAGCAACAGCAAGCCAGGCTTCAGCAGCACCAGACACCGGCTACAGCACACTCATGCAGCAATCATCCTAAGGACTAACACATGCACTCACTACAACCGCTAGTCTATTCCTAATAAAAGGGTAGGGGGGGTGGGGGGCAAACCTCCAGCAAGCAAATAATAAAAGAAAGCCCCCCCCCTGGCAAGTGCCACTGTGAGATGCCGTGCAGGTGGTGGCAAGAGATGATCACCTTCTAATATTAATATCTGTTCCGGCTGGAGGCTTTGCAGGCAGATCCCACAAGCTGTGTACGCATACAGATTTATTTCCTGTTGGCAACATCATCAGCACCGCTGCCTGGTGCTCGTGTGATACAGCATCTCGGCTGGAGGCACCGGGAAGCGTTTAATGGAGGCAGCCTGAAGAGTGAAGCCAGTGCACATGGGTGTACAGCTCATGCATCCTTCTTGCACCTAGGCTGCAGGTTGTCTCCAGAGCAAAAGGGGAGAAATGGATGAAGAAAATGTATCCAGCAGCGACGATCAGCCACTGAGTTTGCAGAAAGCCCTGCAGCAGTGCGAGTTGGTCCAAAACATGATAGACATCAGCATCTCCAACCTAGAGGGGCTCAGGACCAAGTGTGCCACTTCCAACGACTTGACACAGAAGGAAATCAGGACATTGGAGGTAGGCGATCACCTTTTATGCCATCTGCATGAAACCTTGCCTTGTTGTCACCTACTAGTGCTCGGCTATTTTTTTGTCGGCGTTGGCTTTCACCATCCCGACCAAGGCTATTCGGGTAGTTCCCTGGCACTCTTTTATTTGCCCCCTGTCTTGCCTGCTGCCAGTGGGGTTGTTTCTATCCCCTGCTTGGTGTGCAGTGCCATAAATTAAGCAGCTGCAGTGAAATGGAGTGAGCCTGCGCATTCTGCAGGTGGTCGCAAAGGTGCTTCTCTGTAACAGACTGTGCACTATGCTTGTACACCCCCATCCATCCTCCTTCATCTTCCCCCAACCCACACCTTTCACAGATTCTTGCTGAATTGTTGCAGATAGATGCCATGAGTCTTTCATTTCTTGTGCTGTGCATTTATTATGGCACCAGCTACTATGTAACAAACCAGGAGACAGCTGAGACCCGAGCAGAATATAATACTGTACTGTAAAGAGAAGGAGAGAGAGACCTGGTCTAGCTAGGCCCTTTATTACACATACCTGACCTCTGTTATCTATGCATTATATAAAGGTTTCTTTAATATATAAATCTTTATAACTATTACATTCATAGAGATTAAAATGTTAAAGCGATCCTCAATAGCATTTTCCTTGTGCCTTTTAACCTGAGCAGTTTTCCTAATGAAATGTAGCAATGAACCTAAGCAATCCGAACGGATTGTGGACGGGGAACCTTAACATAACATAATCTATATTCTTGCACACTTTTGATAATTAATAGGCATTTTTAATCTTCCTGCTTAGCTACGACTGAGGTGCTCTTAGGTTCTGTTTTGCATACATGATATTTTCACATTGCATGTTTTAAATCATATTTCTTGAATTCTGAGCCTTTTGGCAGTAAAAGGGATAAACTGGCTTTTAGGGATAGATTGTTGACCAAAGACATATGTGTAAACAGTGGGGCCTAGTGAATCTGCAGAAGATGGATTTTTATCTTCTCTTCTAAGAGGCCTAGTGGACAATATAGCACCAAGATCAGTAATAAATGCATCTTGTAGGGTAAGTTTATACTCTAACATACTGATACTGTGTTGCTTGACTAAAACTTTAGGGGCAGATTTAGAATATTCCCCAAACTGGAATGCAGTGAGTGTTATGAAATAAAATGCATGCCTTTTTACAAATTGTTGTTTTATTTTTTTCTGCAACAAAGGTAGCATGGTTTTGCAAAAATGTATTTCCATACACCCTGCTTCTGGAATAGGTGCCTACATTCTGATGTTGTTGATCATAATATAGCTTCTACTTTTGCAGCGGCTATTGATAAGTGCCACGTGTCCAGTGAACATGATGACATAAGTGCTTGCGAGGAAATAAAAAATGTACCCATGGAGTGGGACTACCTTGCACTACAAGGGATGAGTGCTTGTCTTGTGTCGAGGGCTCAAATAAAGCTGTTTTACTCTCCTGGTCCTTAGTCCCATGGTTGGCAGTGCTCACCTCTCTTAACCCACCACGGGTATGAAACGTCCCTCAGCATCCTCAAATCTAAGGGGCGGTGCACACCTAGGCGACACCTCACCGCGCTGCAATCGTGCACCATTCCGCACGGCTTGCGGAAGTTGCCAAGGTGTGAACCGATCTCACTGTGGGGGCCCTTATTTTCTAATGGCAACCCAGTCGCGCCGGGCGGATCGCGCGGTTTCCCGCCGTGATTCCGCCCGTGCTTCAGAACAGCCATGCGTCGTGTATCGCCAAATAAAAGGTACTTTTGTACCTTTTGTTCTGCGATTGCCGCGCGGATGTCACCCCTTTGAAATCAATGAGGCTGCGCGGCAATCGCTGCCTGCATTGTGCAGGACCACGCGATCCAGGATCGCGGAGGTCTGCACAGGGCCTAATGCAAATCTATGGACCTGCTTAAGACCTGCATAAGTCCTTGGACCACCTGGAGGGAGCTGGCAGGACTGAGGATCAGGTAAGTAAATCTTTAAAACTAGCATATAACCTTTGCAGTGCAGGGGTAGCCCCACTGCAAGGGTACATTTTTTATTTACCTAGAGTTGTTCTAAAGTATGAAGATAATATGAAGTTATGAAGATAATATATTAGCACTCCATGAATTTCAGCAGCTATACCATTGTTCCTATGAATTTATGACAAGAATCTGTTAGCAGCCGTTTCTGCTGCCATTGGGGGTCTTTGGTGGCTATGAGACTGGACTGACTTGCTACTGGATTTTGTGTTAATTTGTCTATTCCTTTATTAACGTTGTCCTACGCAAGAACGTCTAATGGTTCCTACTAACATATTAAGATCCCTGGAAGGTTCTGTTGTAGGCCACAAACTCATTCACTGTTTAATGCATATCATAACATTTCTCCATAGTTAGTAACGCTAGAAGTGTTTCAGTTCTTTCTGCCCCTTTATCAGAGAACAGTGCAAGAGGGTCAGAATTTCCAGTACGGAAATTGGACATAGTTTATTGTAGCTGTGTATTCTCCGCTCAGTGTCACTTTGTAACACAGTTCCTTATTCCTTTCTTCCTTATCACACACCTATTTTTAGTTTCTCTACCTTTGTTATATTATAACCTAAAACATAGATCGCCCAACCTGCATCTTTTGCATCTGGTGTGGGAAATATTTAATTTAAAACTTTCCAGGGAGCAGCATGGGGGCTGCCATATCTGGGTTCCCTTTTCTTGAAATGCTGGGATTGCTGGCTGGCGTGCTGACCACCGTACTTCAGTTTTTTGTGTCACTGACGCAGAACATGTTTGTAGATAAGGACTTCTGACTTTACTTTGACTTTCTGGTCCTTTAACTTGTTCCAGGTCAGTGACTCAAAATGCTTTGATTTTAGTAGGTCAGCATAATAGCCAGGCAACCAGCACAATAGCCAGGCACTGCATAAAGCAGGTCAGCAATTACATCTCTTCAGGAAAGGTTTACATTATAGTGTATTTCCAATATATCACAGAGCATAATTAAAAAAAAATATTTTTATACAACATTTCTGCTTACATTTTACTTGCATAAAAATACGTCTTAGCTTTCCTCTTCTATGTAATGTCAAGGAGGGGGCTGGGGAGTTATGTTTACCATAATTAACCCAGTCTGTACTGCGCTGACAGATCTCCATTATCAGTTGCCAACTAGATGTCTGTCCTAACAAAATATCTAGCTTTGTCCTACATATCTCAAGGCTTGGGTGGTACATTGTGTGTTAATACTGTTTTATGAAAACTGTCCCTACACTCTGTCCCCTTACTGCCCTTTGCAAGCTATTCTAAACAATACAAGCTTCCTTTAGAGCAGTGGTTCTCAACCTGTGTAACCTCGGGACCCACATGTTTCCTTGGTCATTAAGGCGTGACCCAAAAATGATTTCATTTCTGAAACATTTTAATTTATTACACAAAACAACTTGTGCACGATTCAGCAATATATATTTTGCTGAAAGTAAATGAATTAAAAAAAATTAAAAAGTTTATAAAGAATAAAAATTAAATATTTAAAAAAATTAAAATAAAAACGTGTGGGGGTGGCGGTTGCGGGGTACAGTTCCAATGGATGTTTATATAATGGGGTGTGGGGGGGGAATGTCTGCCACGGGCGCCCATAACTCTGGTTACGCCACTGATACTGATGGACATTATGTGGGCTTGGAATACATAATGTCCATCAATGTACCCTGTCCTAATGTCCCCTGTCAGTGCAGAACCTGGAGGGGGGGGTGAGGGTGTCTGTATGGGGAAGGGGGGGCATTAGCAGGGGCACCACGGCAGGTTCTCTACTAAGCCCCTGCTAATGCCCCCCGAAGCTTCTGCATTGACAGGAGACATTACGACAGGGGACACTATTGGATATTATGTGGGCTTGGAATACATAATGACCATCGGTGTCCCCTGTCATAAAGTTCCCTGTCAGTGCAGAAGCTGGGGGAGGGGTGCATTAGTATAGGCTCTGCTGCAGGTAAAAAAATTGCAGCGGAGCCCCCTGCTAATGCCCCCCCCCCATACCCTCCCCAGCTTCTGCACTGACAGAGGACAATATGACAGGGGACACTGATGGACATTATGTATTCTGAGCCCAGTCTGTGTAATAACATTAATTGTGTATTTAATTAACATACATTATGACAGGGGACAGTGATGGATATACATGATGGATATTATGTGGGCTTGGAATGCATAATATCCATCAGTGTCCCCTGTCCTGCCACAGTGCACATCTCCCTATCTGCCTGCCTACCTTTCTCTGATTCCAGCCGACTGAACTATCTGGACTGGAGAGTACAGTAGATACAGCGGCGGATTGATATCTGCTATACTCTCCCGTGCAGACCGGAACTATTACTGATTAGTCCAGCCAACTGACCAACTGGATTGTGGTAGGCTGAGTCAACCTTTTATATATTGAGCACATCAGATTTTCCTGCTATAGTTCCTTGTTATGTTCCCATAATTTTAGGTGTTTGCCATTACTTTGAGGTGTTCTGACTCCTGCTGAATGCTTACATAAGACACTTTTACCAATCCAGAAAGGATAGGGGGACCTCTTTGCAATGGGGATGCAGATCTGGGACCTAAATCGTAGTGATTTCACCACAGGGGTCATTGAAAGATATCTGAAGCCATAGTTTTTTAATTTTTTTTTTTTTATTCATTTTGGACAGAGCAATGAATGTTTAAAGAATAACTCCACTTTTTAGATCATGTTTCCTGTTATAGAGTATAACATGAAACATAGTCACATTCTTCAGTGCCCCCACCCCCAAACTGCGATCCAAGCTCTAATGCAAAACATAATAAAGGCATATTTTTTCTTTATTAATGTGCGTGCATTTATAATAATTAAAAAAAAAGTTGGACTATTCCTTTAAATCCATTTTATTTGTGCCCCATTCATTAGATTTTTCATTCGCTTTCCGTCCCATATTAAAAGAAAGTGAGAGGAAACGGGAAGTGAGAGGAAATACCTCCAAAGGGAAGGAAAATTATT